GAAAAAAATGGGGGGGGGGGGTATATATATATATACTGATATAAAAACGAAAGAAAAGAAGAAAAAAAGAAAAACTCCATTCTCATCAAATTGCAGCTTAATTGATCACACTTCCCAAGACAAAGCAGCTCCCCACCCCTCCCCCCATATATTAATGAATAAAAGGGCTGAGACTTGAAAATTTAGAAAATGTCAAACAGACAATAGCTATAACCCCTCTCGATCCTTAGTGTAAGTTCCGGGTTCTCCGATTTTCCTCATTCCGCAAAAACCTACGCTAAATTTAGCCGAACATGACTTTGATCAGCCCAGAGGTTGTTTCAGGGTTCCATAAAAATTGAAATAAAAATATATGTATAATAATAATAATGATATCCATTAACATATATTATGAAAAATAATGAAATCCTCAAGGAGTCTGGTGATAAGACGGCAAGTATCGAGCGAGTGTTAGTATTCCCTGGTAAGGAGTCCAGGAATAGCGTCTTTTGATTGGCTGAAGAGCAGGTCAGCCATTTTTACAAACGAGAAACGGTTAAACAAGAAGGAAATTGATTGTTTAGCTCCAAATTAAACCCTTTTTCTCTAGTTTTTCCACTACCGATTGCTCTATAACTACAAACAACACTAAATGATGGCAACAGTAAGTATTAATCTTATTGATTTTGTCCTTTTTCCCCGCGAAAAAGGATCGATTTTTTGATAAAAATCACCTTTCTTTTCAGACCAGTTCGAATGTCGAAAACTTGTCCCCTCAAATTATCAAGCAAGTTGCTCGAGAATTGCAAGGGTTAGCGAGTAATCCACCAGAGGGAATCAAAATTTTTACCAACGATGAAGACATAACAGATATTCAAGCGACGATAGAAGGACCAAGTGAGTATATTATCGTACAAAATGTACCACTACGGATCGAATATGACTTAGAAATCGGTTTGTTTTTCAACCGGTAAGCGATGAGGGGTTAAAATTAAGTCATGCTTTTGAACTAATATGTTAGAAAAGAAGTCTTTTTCTTTACCCTAGGTCTGAATAAATACACCAAATCGTATAAGAATACGGGACTTTTCGAGAGTACGTGTAGAATAACTGAAATTTCGATTCTAATGTGTAGAGCCAATTGTTTTCTATAAGCTTCAGCTTATATTAGCCATTGCAAGGTTGAGGTAAAAACTTGATCGAGTTGGCATTGTAATGCATTTGGGGGCTGTATGAGGGCACGAAACAGCAACTTGTTGACCATCTTGGAAATACATCTCCAGTACAGTTCCACAATGCACTGCGAAGGCAACTCGATTTCTCATTTCAGATGCTCTACCACTGAGCTACAGTAAGGACTCATGATAAGCAGTCATTTACTTATTATGACATATAGCCTGTACTCTGCTGCTATGCTCAATATGTCCAGATTCAGTTCAGAATCCTTTTAGATAATGAATCTATCCTTTTAGGTCAGTGTTAAGAGCAGCGTACTGACATCCTAAGTCATTTACTCATGACATATAGCCTACACACTCCTATGCTCAATATGTTCACATCCAGTTCAGAATCCTTGTAGAGAGTCATTCCTGTAGCTCAGTGGTTAGAGCATCCTATCGGCATCCTGAAGCTCATGGTTTTGATTCCAATCAAGGACTCTGATTTTTTTCAGAGTTCTCCTTTCTTCTAGTGACAAATGATAAATCAATTAAAATTTTTATTAGTTTAAATGTAAAGTGACATTCCAGAATCTCTGTGATTGCAGTAGTTTGTATATATATGTGTGTTATTTACAGTCAAAATGGCTCAAGCTTACCCCACCCCACCCACCCCACCCCCAGATTACATTAATGGTTTCATTATTCGAATATTTAGCAATTATTCACCGACAGCGAAGTGAATATCGGGGAATATTTACCGAGATGCGAGTCTTCGAGAGGCGAGGTAAATATTCTCCATATTCACTGAGCCTGAGGCGAATAATTGTTTTAGAACATACCAACTTGTGTACAGAGTAACTTATTTTTATATACAATAATTCAATAAAATAAACAAACAGAAACTTTTAGTTTGCGTGACAAATTCACGCAAAATCTTTAGCAAAACTTTTAGGCCATACTTTGTTGCCTTTTTAGTATTGATAGGAATGGCATTTACTTTCATTTTTTCAATTTTCTCATCGGAAATTGTAGCAAAATGTTTGCAGGCAGATGCCATTTTGTTGCCGACTCAATATTCTGAGATTCAGAGGCGAATATCATACAATATTCACCTCCAATTAACCAATGGGTGCACGCGTTCTTAGGAAGTACACAAGGTATATGCTAATTAAATTTATTATTCTTTCTAGGAATACGAAGACTCAGGATTCAAAATAATAACGGATTGAAAACTCAAATTCTGATTGGATTATTCCATATAAGGAACAACATAATCTAATCAAAAGTTTTGAATCGGTTATTATTTTGAAGTTTGAGTTTTCGTATTCCTGGAAAGAATAATGTATTTCAATATTCCAACAATGAAACCATTACAGTGTGAATTGAAAAATCGTGGGCGCCTAGAAATATTTCAAGAATGTTCAATAACCAATCGAAAGTGTTATTGTTATCTTTCCGTAATCTTGTGGTCAGAAAGTCAATTCTAATTGGCCAAAGAACAATAGAACATTCCTAGAATATTTCTAGGTGCCCACTGTTTTTTGATCTGCCCTGTAATCGAACCTAGGGGGTAAGCTTTAGCCATTTTGACTGTAAATTATTTAAATTATTGTAAAGTATAATAAATATCAACGTGATCTCCTAAGATAAACCGTTATGGCTCTTGAAGCAAACAATATAAAATATTTGGCTTAAATGAATTTTTTAAATAAAATTGATTTGAAATTTTTTAAATTTTAAATTTTGAATTATTTAAAAAAAATTTTTTTTTTAATATTTTTTAAAAATATGTTACTGATACTGCTATTTTGTCCCTTGTTTTTAGCCGGAACACCATACGAAGGTGGTATATTTAAAATTAAAGTTGTCCTTGGAAAGGACTTTCCAGCTTCACCTCCAAAAGGTATATTAATTACAATGTATTGTACTTAATTATTTTTTTGATAATACACATGAAGCAGTCTGTTGAGCATTAAAGACCCATTGCCACTTACCGTGATGCATCACAATTTGTTTACATTTTGAATCATGTCACCACTAAAAAAACAATTCCAACCTTTTGAATAAACTCTTAGATAGTCCCTAAAGCCATGAAATAATGTAAAAGAATCATTATTGTGCCTTAGTGCTATGTCGGAAAAGGATTTAATATGAAGTTATTTTTCAATATATGATTCTTTGAATTTCATGGACCACGAAATTCATCTGTGACCGCGGTGCATCACGGTAAGTGGCAATGGGTCTTTAAGTCTACAGTTTGTTTCGGCCCACTCCAATTCCGAAGTTTGTTTGCATATTCTCAAGTTGGTACCAAATCTTGCGAGCTTCAGTGCAAACTTGTTTCAATCAACCAGGACTTGGTTACAGTACAGCTCACAGGAATGTTAACATTTCACGCGTGCAAACCGCGTGTAGTACTCTCAGTGTAATGCACTTCTATGCGTGAAGTGCCCGCAAGTATGTTGAGTACAAGATACTATGTGTAACAAACTACACGCAGCTGATTTCCTCATTAACTAGCGCCTTTGTTCAAATTATGTGTAGAATTCAAATATTTACTTGAATTGCATCTTTAAACCAAATGCTTTTCAAAAATTTTATTCCAAACAACATGCAGAGTTAAATTCCTTTTGTTGTGATGAAATCCATCTTGAAAAATGATTTTGAAAAGTAGATTTGATGAGTTTTCGAAGCTACATTATTATTAGTGTGAGTGATCTCTAATCGATTTCACTTTGAAGTCCTGAAGTGCATACTGAGGTTGTGAACTTGTGAACAAACTTTGGAAAAGGAGCTGCTAAAGTTTTGTGAAATAACTGTCAAGATTTCTGGCTTAGCTCATGTTTTGAACACCACAATGCTTTGCAATACACTGAATCAAAATATGGTGACCAATTTGAATAACTATTCTGCAATGACTAGCGACTGACTAGCCTCTCATACATGTGAAAACACTTTTATATTTCCTCGTGAACACGAGGCTAGTCAGTTGCTAGTCATTGCAGAACAATAGTTATTCAAATTGGTCACCATATTTTGATTCAGTGTATAGACCATTTTAAATTGGCCAAATACCACTGTGCTCATTGATTACAGACGCATTTGTACATGGTCAGCCTTACTAGTATTTCAGCGTAAAAATATTCACAAATACCAATGGCAAAGTAAAGAATGCAGAACTTGAACTATGCAAACACTTTGAAATTCTACGGACTTTCACCACAATGCATGAAATATGTTAATATAATTAAGTCATTTGTTTGTTCTTTTACAGGATTTTTTTTAACTACTATTTTTCATCCCAATGTGTCAAAAAATGGCGAAATTTGTGTCAATACTCTTAAAAAGGACTGGAAACCAGACTTAGGAATTCAGCATATTTTACTGGTAAGTTAAGTAGAAAGGGAAAAACAGCACCCTAAAGATCACAACAAGATCAAGACTCCAACTCCCTCCAAAAAAATAGACCACCTTGATGATACAATGACCACCTTATACAGTGGCCATAGTCACCGTGATGATACGGTGGCCATCTTATACAGTGGCCATAGTCACCGTGATGATACGGTGGCCATCTTATACAGTG